CAAGTAACACACAAAGCAAAATACAAAATGAGGTAAATCAGAATATAGACATAAAAACGATGCAGATAATGAAGACAAACGAGTGTGGAGCATACAGGTTCAAAACACAGATTATCTGGTGTTGAAAGCCACCGAATAGTAGTGGGTTTTTAAATGGGACTTGAAAACCGAGAGGGAGGGGGCCTGTCTGACAAGCAGAGGTAACTCGTTCCAGAGTCTTGGTCCTGCTACAGAGAAGGCCCTGTCACCTCTGCGCTTAAGACGAGTTCCTGGAACTGTGAGGAGCAACTGGTCCGCTGACTTCAGGTAACGTGGTGGAACATACGGTTGTAGGAGATCAGAGAGATAGGGGGTGCGAAACTATTCAGTGATTTGTAGACATACATGTGTATTTTGAACTGGATTCGAAGGTGAACCGGTAACCAGTGCAGTGAGGCCAAAACTGGTGTAATGTGCTCTATTTTGCCTGTACTGGTTAAAAATCGGGCTGCTGCATTCTGGACCAGTTGTAGTCGTGCAATGGAGGTCTGACTGATACCAAACAGGAGTGAATTGCAGTAATCAAGCCTAGATGTAATGAATGCATGTATTACTGTCTCCGGGTTATTTTTGGACAGTATGGGCTTCAGTTTAGACAGCCGCCTCAGTTGGAAGACGCATGATTTAACAATCATGTTTACATGATCGTTAAGTTTCAGGGAAAGGTCCATTATCACTCCCAGATTAGTGACTCTTTGTTTTTCTGACAGGGTTAGAGCGGAAAGGTCGATGCAGTGGTTTGTGATCGTGTCATTGGGAGGGAACAACATGACTTCAGACTTCTTTTCATTGAAACTTAAGAAATTTAAAGCCATCCAGTCCCTGATGTCAGCCAGGCAGTTGAGCAGCGGTTGAATAGAGCATGTACCATTGCGTCTTAGGGGGAAGTAAATTTGACAGTCATCGGCATAGAAGTGAAAGGGCATGTTGTGTTTCTGGAAAATAGCACCAAGTGGCAGCAGGTATAAAGAGAATAGGAGGGGACCCAGGATGGACCCCTACGGAACCCCCCATTTAAGCTCTGCCGCTGCAGAACTAAAATCCTTGATGGAGACACAAAAGGATCTGTCAGTGAGGTAGGATCTGAACCAATTGAGGGCTGATCCTGTGATGCCCACCCACTGCTCCAACCTAGCAACGAGGATCTCATGGTCGATGGTGTCAAAGGCGGCTGTGAGGTCCAACAGGACAAGCAGCACAGAATCACCGGTATCAATGGTTAAGAAAATGTCATTAAAGACCTTCAGCAGGGCAGTTTCAGTGCTGTGGAGAGGTTTAAAGCCAGATTGGAATAGCTCTAAGATGGCGTGATCCTCCAGGAAGCACTTCAACTGGGACTTGACTATTTTCTCCAGTAGTTTCGAAACAAATGGGAGTTTGGAGACAGGCTGGAAGTTGGACACGACTGAGGGGTCAAGGTTTGTTTTTTTTCAGGAGAGGCTGGACAGCAGCATGTTTAAAGGTTTTTGGCACCACGCCAATGGATAAACTACTGTTTACTATAGCAAGAATGGACGGACATAGAATAGAAAAAACCTCCTTTAGTAGTCGAGGGGGGACCACATCAAAGGGGGAGCCAGAAGGTTTCAAGCTGCACATGACCTGCTCTAGAGAAGACAGAGTGATGGGTTCAAAATGGTCAAATAGAGCTACAGATTGAGGTGGGATGGATGGGTCATGAGTTGGAGGGGAAATGAGAGCCCTGGTGGTCGCAATTTTTTCCAAAAAGAAATGTAAGAAGTTGTCGCACAGCTCAGTCGAAGCGTCCAGAAGTGATGGTTCAGTGAGGTGGATAACAGAGTTTAGGGTGGAGAAGAGGACACGTGGGTTGCGAGAGTTTGAGGTAATTATATCAGAGAATTATTTGGATTTAGCAGCTTTTACTGTTTTCTGATAACGGCGCCAACTCTAAGTATTTGAAAAGAGACCTGCAGCCCGTCTTTCCTTCACTTTCGTTCCGCCCTCCTACATTGCTGCCTAGCGGCCTTGGTGACGTCACTCAGCCAAGGTTCTGCTCTCAGTTTTGATTTTTTGGTTTTAACAGGCGCAACATGATCCAGAGTCTTTAAGCAGACAGAGTTGAACTGGGATGTCAGCTCCTCAGTGGTGGTGAGAAACACCAGGGGCTGAATTATCATTTCAGAGTTATAAACATCTGTGAAACGTGCAGCAGTGAACTGGTTAATGGTCCAGCTGCGACGTGCAAGAATGCACGGCTTAGGAGTTAGATGGGGGAGGGTGAACTCAAACCGGACTGGCATGTGATCTGACAAAACATCATCACCAATTTCAAGATTACTAACAGTCACATCACGAGTTAAAACAAGGTCCAGTGTATGTCCGTGCTCTTTGGTGGGACCGTTTACATGCTGAGTTAGATTAAATGAGTCCAATAAATCTAAAGAGTCCTTAACCAAGGGCTTCTCAGGACAGCACACGTGCAAATTAAAGTCCCCAAAAATGAAAACATGATTATATTTTGGTGTGATTTCAGCTAAGAAGTCAGAAAACTCATTTATGAAATCCTTAGATCGAGGTGGGCGGTAGACGAGTGCAAATAACGTCTGAGGTGAATGTCCGAGTTCAAAGACGCTCAGCTCAAAGCTGGCACGGGAAACTGGGATGGGCAGTTGTTTACAGTCAAAAGTTGGTTTGAATATTGTTAATAATCCACCACCACGCCGGCCTGATGGCCGCGGTGCGTTAAAATACAGACAGTTCGGTGGCAATAATTCAGTCAAGGCGCTGGACTCACCCGGAGACATCCAAGTCTCTGTGATGCAGAAAAAGTCCAGATCGTGCTCTTGAAAGTAGTCCCTGAGGATAAAAGTTTTGTTGGCAACAGATCTTGTGTTGACCAAACACATCCAGATACTGTCCAAAGTGGAGCCAGCAGCGGTGAAGTTCGCGCGCATCAGTGGCCTCAGGTTTTCAATAACAGCCCCTCCGTGTCGGTCCGAGCTGCACACCGGCTGACAACTCCCGTTGTTTACCTGGTCCGGGCACGCGGGAAGCTGGCGATGGAAACCATGACCACCAGCTGAAGAGGAAGATGCAGCGTGCAGGGCTTTAAGCTTTACCAGCCGCCCGGCAGGTTTTCCCCGGCGTCTGTAGCAATGTCTCCGGGCAGGGAGGTGAGGAGCGCAGCGGAGGTAAGCTGGCACGTCCGCCAGCAGGGGGGGAGGAGGGGGGTCCAGAGGTACGCTCATATTGTTCCAAATAAGCGGCATCGGTGACAGAAAAACAAAGATCCAGAAGCTGCTGTCGCTCATACATCAGCAGTGAGTTAATGTCACAGATAAAAAACGAACAAAACAAAAATAATCTGAACACCATCAGCAGAGGTGGATTGCAAGCCATGCACACGGGCGCCATCTTTACACCTCCAGATGCAGGAAGAGGGCCACCTGCATCATGAAGGACCCCACTCACCCAGCACACACACTTTTTGCCCCGTTCCCCTCAGGAAGGAGGTTGAGGAGCAATAAGTGTAGAACCACTAGACTGAGGAACAGCTTCTACCCTGAGGCTGTTAGACTCATGAATCTCTAACCAGAATAATCACTGTGAAAAATCACATCATGATGCTGCTGATCTGTTTCATATTGCTGCTGATCTGTTTCAATGTTGATGTGTTCATGCGTGCTCATCTGCTCACACAGACTCATGTTCGTGCTGCTGTTCAATGTAATATGTTTATGCTATTAGTGCTTAGTGTATTATTTAGCTGTTTTTCTTAGTTCATATCGTTGATCTTATTACTGTTTTTCTTTTACATTTTATTGTTGGAAGTAACTGGGACCCTGTGCACATAATCTCGTTCCATCACATGTACCACATGAGATGCGAATGACAAATCTCTCAGACTCTGAAAAGGGCTGTGCCTCTCGAGGCCAGCGGCCTCAGTCACCTCCGTCTCCTCATGTCTGTTGTTTCTCTCGGACGGTCTGATGTAATTTTGCTGTGCTTCAGTGACAATAAAGCTGATTCTGATATGGTTTCTGGAGTCTGCTGATTCTGATATGGTTTCTGGAGTCTGCCCTCTCCCCCGTCGACTCATCTGAGGCAGTCATGGCCAAAGTGGTTCAAAACATCAAAGACTGTGTTTGTTTGTTTGAGAACAAGTAGAACTCATCCCCTTTTCTTTACATATTGTAGTCTAAAACTCTGGCATGAAGGGCAGCCGGTTCCATGTATTCCATCATTTAATGATCTACCCTGTTGCATTTTACTCCTCATAAATCACCCCCCCCCCCCACGTGACAGGTTGTGGTAAAGACTACAGAAAAACAAATACTGATTGATACATTTATTCATTGTCATGTACAAATTGTTTTTCAGTGGTACAAAGCTGTTGGAGGACTCCAGTGCTCACCCTTCTGTTGTTTTTATTGCAGTAAAAAAAGGAAATACCAGATGATCAAGAGTCAAGAGGTACTTTGGCAAATATAAATTATATATTAGAAGGCAAGCGGACATCTTGAGCAATGTGAAGTGAGGAAAACACACAGAAGTGTTGATGAGTAGCTTCCGTCAGCCGTCGTAAAAATTAAAAATCAATAAAAATATTTCATTCCAAACAACACACTTAAAACACGCAGGCGTAGGAAGAGCCTTGATCTTCTTCCATCCTCCATTTTTACTTAAACTGCATGAAACTGACTCGCATCGCGTGTGGAAACCGAAACTCTGTGGTTGTGTGTTCTGTGGGTGACGAAGTGTATTAAACACGTCTGCATGTAACGTGAGAGCTCATGTGCAGATGTATGCATCCATTTCATTCCAGGTAGAGGTGGGGGCGCACAACAACATCAGTATTGGGCAGAAACCCTTAGAGTGTCGAGATGTGGGAGAGCCACATCTCAGTGAGACACAAACTACAAATATTTCTCCAAGAGTCCTTGTCTTTGCTCTGCTTTCACACAGAGGGAGCGTCAAAGCAAGTAACTGAAGACGACGGGGGCGCGAGGAGGTGTAAGTGTGAGATGGATCAGCTCAAGGTCTAATGGATCTTTGATAACAATGAAACGCTGGGTATGGTTTAAGACAAGAAGCTTGCAAGGGATAACTGCTGGAGGGGAACAGAGGACTTGGCTTCCCCCTTAAAGTCTCGTTTTAGAGGTATTGTTGTAGAAAGTGCAGCAGCATTATCTCATAGTGTTCTCCAGACTCTGGGCAGCGGATACTGTGTCGCTCGTTGGGGTAGACCTGAAACAAACACAGCAACATCAGAGAGCTGACCCAAACTGGAACAAGAGCTTAAACAGCACCAGGATTATACCGTCTGAAAATTAATTACTGTCTAAAAATCAATTACTGTCTGAAAATCAATTACTGTCTGAAAATCAATTACTGTCTGAAAATCAATTACTGTCTGAAAATTAATTACGTCTGAAAATCAATTACCGTCTGAAAATTAATTACCGTCTGAAAATTAATTACCGTCTGAAAATCAATTACCGTCTGAAAATTAATTACTGTCTGAAAATTAATTACTGTCTGAAAATC